CCTAAAATATTTGAAAGTAGTTTTTATTGGAGAATAGTGTATTAATCCTTTTGTAATTTCATAAAACTTTGTTATTTCATTGGTGAATGGAAGTAATGCTGTCTTGCATATTAAGCCCATATATGTACAATGTATAAACTGATCCCCCCTTTTCTACTAAAAATTATAAATTAATTTTAACTATTAAGTTAGTCAGTATAGAAGCTATTTTTCTGTATTTTCTTATAACGTTTTTTGTGTTGTTTTTTTTTTAGTGTTTCAGTTATCAAACCTGCATCATGGAGTGGCTTATGATGAGCCACAGTAGTTTTCTGAGTCCGTGTTGTACTTTAGGATGGTTTGAAGGGAGTGAATTTGTAACCAGTGATGAATGTTTGGGTAAGTGTATTTCTTCAGTTCATAATACAATCTACTACCCACTTAAACATTTTTTTAAGGTAAAAATGAAGAATCACTTTGATTTGCATGTAATAACATGTTACTGTCAGTTTCAAAAACTAGACTGGTACTGTTTTGTTCATATATGCAGAATTTAAAAACAAACAAGCCTGATACTGTTGACATTCATCAACTACATAATATATATATACATATATATAAAATTCCAGTATTTTCAAATGTTGATGCCATCATATGTAAGCCTACTTCTTTACAATCATTTGGATCAGCCATAAAAAGGAAATGTGTACAGACTGAAAGCTATAAAGAGGTTGAAGTTTGTTAAACCAACCGAAGTGATTAAAACAGTTGAGAAAATTTTCAACATCTTCCAATCTTTGACATCTATGTGATAGTCAGTGACCGTAAATGAAATCCATGATTTTACAAGAAATCATAGCAATATATTTCTCATAATCTAACCTATATAAAAGCCAGTGTGTGTGTCATGTCATGTCACCCTTGATTTCTCGAAATAGGAAGAAAAGCCAAACTGCATTTATCCAGATAGAATAGTTTGATTACTGTCTGCCCATTACAATTTTAATGATGGGGATGCAAGGGAGCTGTGAGGATGGGAGGTGCTGTGAAACTTTATAAGTGGAGTGAGTGTTGATATAATATGCTTAAAGTAAAGACATAGTGTGGGATCACCTAGTCTAGAGCCAAGTGCACAAAATTTATCATGAAAGTAAAAACATTGATTCAATTTTAAGCTCAAATAATTTCTGAATTAAGCAATTTTCTGTTATATCACCAACATTTTAAATAAAAAACAAACCTCTTTAATCAATGGAGACTCTAAATTAAGAAATCAAAAATATTTTTCCTGTTTTGTTGTCTATACATTTCATTTTATACTTTCAGTACATAGACTAACAACAATATTAGGTTATACTTTTGTTGCTAAGCAACATGACAAAAGCCATTGTTGGAATGTAGTGTTACCAAAATGTACTGGCTTTTCCATATATTAAAAGTTGTTAATCTAACTGATTTTTACCAATAATTATTCTATGAATACGCCACGAATTCATTTCATTAATGATCTTAATTTTAATTGGCTCACAAAGGAATTTACTGATGTTTGACTGCACTTTTCTGCCTCTTTGTTGGGAAGATTGATTTTGCAAAATTTATTTATTTCAGTTAGATATGAAATGTGAGGTTAGGTTATACTTTGGTAGTAGTTGCCCCATCATTTTTGATGGGCTATACGCTAGTGCTTTCAAATAATTAATAGTTTTCTTGCCCTTGAGACCATCCCTTTCAGTAGTGAATCCAGGACTTACTCGTGGGGAGGGAGGTAAATCCTTGTGAGTGAACAAAGTTTAAGTCCAGTTTTTCTACTTAGGACAATAGTTGATACAAGTTTTTAAAAGCTTACTACTAAGATAGTAAACTGTTCTAAACCTGTGGTTATAAAATATTACCTCGTTATGTTGAATACATTTATCTACACTTTATAGGAAAAGTATATTTCATAATGATTTTCCTTCATCGTCAAAGGCAGGCTTATACGTTGGATACATGTTCTTGACTAAATTGAAATGTGTAATTTCTGATATACAAGATTATCTATTCTCATTCAGTGCTGCCCTCTATATGCAAACTTTTTCTTTAAACATGCCACAAGCCTTTTGCTCCCCCTCCCCCTGTTGGAATTACTATTACATGTCTCTCATGTAAATCATATGTCATCTCTTAACCAATAGTAGCATAATATACTCAAGTGACACATGTGACTTCCTCTACATTCCTCTACCGAACCTTCGCTTTTCATTTGGCAATGTTTGAATTAAGACATACTCTTTTTTTGTGTGCCTAGTGCTTCCAGTGTGACAAACAGTTCTTTTTTTCACACTAAATGGTTCCTTTTCATTTTATTTTATTTTATACCAGTTCCTTCTTGTTGCTCTATTTCTGCACTCAAATTTTGTGAACCTTTTCTTGTGCTGTGAATTATGAAGTTCACGTTACCACTTTGGGGGGTCACACCAATGACCTTTTTTTTTTCTCAAGCCTCAGGTGCGGGCGACTCGATGGTGATTCTCTTTGCTTTTATACATCGGGAGATTGAGTACTACATGGGTCAATCTTTGTCCCCTGACATCACCTAGGCTCTTCCTGAGTCGGCTTTTCTTGTTCAGAACGACAAAGGCTTTGATCATCTTTTCCCACCTCCTGAGTTTGATGTTCCTTCCCATTTACAGCCTGAAGAATCACCTATGCCTGATCAGTCTTTACGGATTTTGTGTCTCAGTTTTGTGATGTTTTGTCCCCTATCTCTTATTCCCCTCGTCCTTCCTTGTTACATGGACAAGCTTTCCAACCATTTTTGGTTTTTCGTTCCTTCTCTGATATTCGGTTATGTGTGGATCAATTTGTCTCACAATTATGTGAAGGGGATAAGCATGCCGCACTCCCGAGGACTTCTGATCAGTTTGCCCTTTCTTACCATCGTGCAGACTATCCATTTTTAGATCAGCTGTTCATAAATTCATTATTACTTATTTGGGGGGTGGCTCCTGAATGTAATGTTAGTCGTACTCATGACCAATATTCTTGCCTACGTCTTACCCTAACCAACCTCTTATGGTATCTTTCTTCCATACATTTTCTATTGGAAGCTCTCTACAGAAATTAGGAGGGGTTTTCTACAGACACCCTTACACTTTTTCTTTCACTTTAGCCTGCATTTCTTCTTAGGCTCTGTCGTTACATACGTGGTTTTTTTGTTGTTGGGACCTTGTACATCGGGATGCAGTTTTGGCCTGGGTCAACTTACTCTCAACATATCTCAAGGATTTACATCTTGCACCTTTTCTGAGACGTTACGTTTTTGATACAGTCCCAGAAACTATCGACCCTCGGGTGACATCAGTCCACCAGCAATCAACCCTTATGACTTTTGTAGCCCGTTTGTCTCGGTCAGAGCCTCATATGCCACCTATTCCCATTTCTTATCCTTCATCCTTCACCATTCCTTCTAATTGGGGTACTTCTTCTCGTCAATTTCCTCAACGACACAACCCCCGTTGCCAACAGTACCAGTGACTACTCTGTGGGTTCGGGTCTGGCTATTAGAGTTTCTTCCTCACTGGCGTCACTTCATAGATGATCAATAGGTAATAGGTAATTCATTATCCACTTTCTTTCCCCCATCTCCTGTTTCTCCTTCGTTTCCTTCCCTCCTTCTCTTTCCATAGTCCCCAAGAAAACTGGAGATTGGCGGCCGTTCATCGATTTATCACACATCAACTACTTCATCATACTCCCCAAGCTCACCATGCAGTTTTTTTTTATATAGAGGGCAGCACTGAACAAGAATAGCTAATCTTGTGAGCAGAAGTATGTACCTATCGGAAATACATTTTCAGTATAGGAAAATTATAACTTATATGTATATAATAGTATGTTTTATTCAATTTGTTTTTCTGTATTCTAAATTAGTAAAATCAAATTGTAAAAACAAAGTCAGTTGTTCAATGATTATTCTTATATATAAATTAATAAGATTATTATGGAGTATGAGTATTAAACAGAATAATATATGTGGAACAACCTTTAATAATCAATATGTTTAATAATTATGTGGGTACCTTTTATAAAGAAAGTAGTGAAATTCTACAATTTAAGCTTTAAAGCAACAAAAATGTTAATTCTGTTCAATAATTTTTACAGTTACCATTTAGTTTTAGAGACATTACCCTTTTCTCTTATGCTTTTTCTTACGTCTTTAACAACTGAAAATTTAATTTCTACCCATTTATGTTGGTTTAGTTTTCATATCAAAGAATCTTTATTTTCTGTGGGGTTCAAGCTGAATAGAGCCATCTGTTATAATTATTACATGTATAAATCTCTGAATTTTACAAGAGATTTAGTCACTAAGTTTAGTCCAGAAAATATGTCATCTGTAGTAGTCATACCTTATGTTTCAAGCAATATCCATTGTCTTTTAGTATTTTTAGACTTTCTTGTGGATAGGAAACCAGCTGAAATTTAGTTGTAATAATGAACTTATTGGAATAAGTTATTGATAGTGATTTAGGGAAGATCTCTGAATTCTGGTGTTTGTTTATTCTGAAGAATATTGATTTTGAAAGTGAAGTAATTTGAATTTTTTATGAAAAAGCTAACAGAATATAAAAATTAATAAAATCATATTTGGTTACAAAAATAAAAGCTAATCTATGAAAATCATGTATATTAATAAGCTCATCTTTTGGAAGAAATTTCAAGTAGTTTTATAAAAACATTTTCAATGTCTAATGCTATTGGAAAATGCATTGAAAATGCTATTGCTTTGAATCAGTATAATTGAAAGATAAATTCTCTTTATACTAGAGGTCAGTTGTTATTTCACTCACAAAGTTTGCATGTTGAAGATTTGTATTAAGCTTACAAATAAATTTATGAAAGTTTTTATAAAGTTATATGTGTATTCATGTAATGGCTTATAAATGTATGTTTTTGTTGTCTTTTTTTTATATAATAATATTTACCTATTAGACTTTTGTTTACTTTAATTGCTGTATAATAATTGGCTTTAATTTATCAGTAAAATAAAGCATATATTTTTTTTAAAAAGCTCCACACTTGTTTTGCACTTAATACTATAAATGTTGAATTTGTTTGTTTCAGCATCCTTAAAAGCAATGGAATGTGAGCTTCTTCAAGAAGAATTACTTTCTCGAAATGTGCGGCTGAGTTTTGGCTTATCACATGTTGTTCAAAAAGTAGGTTGTTTAAAGAATAATTTTAAAAGCTTACAGTTAAAGTTTTTGAAAATGTTATTCTTTTTTACTTTAAATAAGCCTTCTTTTATGATATGTTTATAAAATACTTCATAGAACATATTTTTACAGTAGTAACATTATTATATTTTTATGCATCAGTAATTCTTCCTGTAGTGTGAAGTAGAATAACTTTATTTTCTTTTTCATTAATGTAACGATGTTTGTTCTATATTACTGAATGAAATAAATGAGAATTCATGTACCACAACAGCTCTGATAAAGTTTACACTATTTAGTTTCTTTAGAATCAAACCAAAATTACAAATTCACTGTATACATTCTTCCAATATTTGTACATCATAAATTTTACTTTTGAGAAGACAAGTTTTGTAAAATAGACAGTAGCTTGAAGTTGTTCTGTTCATTTCAATTTCAAAGTGTTGTGTTCGTTTTTGATCTAAATTTTTTTTAACAGGATTTAATTCCTATTTTGATTCATGAACACCACAACAAAGATGTTTTGAAAGTTGTTTTGAGGTAAGTAATCCCTTACTTGATGTCTTATGGAAACTGCATACTTCTTTTGGAAAAATAGGTTTTATACAAAATACCTAAATACAAAGAAAAGTGTATAACATATAGGTAATGTTTTATGTAAATTACATTCATTCTGGAAAGTCAGTTATGTAATATTTGGAGACAAAGTGAGTGATAGAATAGTTGTATGTAACTCATGTATATTTAATCTGGGAAGACAACTTCAGTATATATATGTGTGTGTGTATATATATATATATAGAATAATCATGTTTGCAAGTTCTATTTCATTTGAAAAAATTATATTTATGCAGATTAGTTAGGTAAAAAAATGTGGGTAGCACAATGATTTTCTCTTGTATAACCACCTATCGAATGATCTTGATTACAGGAATGAACTGATACCTGTGTGTAATATTGAATTAATGCTGTAGTTAAGTTTTATATAACTGGAAGACAACTTTCATCAATTATAAAAAAAAAGTCTACATTTATATGTCATTATATATTTCATTTCCTAAGTGTGATGATGTAGTGAATTTTATTTTTCAAGTTTGAACAAATACCGCTGAAACTTATTATATTGAGTACAATATTGATTCATTTATTTTTCAGGTTGTTAGTGAATCTTACACTTCCTGTTGAATGCTTAATACCTGTTAATACAGCTTCCAAAACACCCTTTGGTAAAAACACCCTAACTCAGCTTTATCACTGCCTGTTGGAAGGGAAAAAAGCTTTCCTTGATGTATGCTCAACTGCTGCAGTTATTAAAAGCATTAAGGATACACTTAAGAGGGTATGATTATAGTTTATTTTCATATACTAACTTAACTCACTCATATTTTGTTAGTTTGTAAAACATGAATTAATGTAATAATAAAATTATCAAAAAAATGACAACAGATTAATCCTGTCTAAAGAGAAGTGTAACTAGATAAGGTCAGAGCTGGATTAACATTTTAAACATACATATTGCATATCTCTATATGATATACTGTAGTTTTAAAGGGTCATTTAAAGTAAATGTTTTACACGTACAAGGTTTATAAATAGAGCTGACCAATTTAATCAATTACCTATGTGCAGTGATTACATTGAATAATGTCACATAAATTAATTGATTAATTGAAATTACAATTTATTGATTGTTAAGAAAATAGTAAACTAATTGAAATTAGGGTTTTTGATTATTTGGAATATCCAAGTAATCGAAATATTGCCATTATGTCTATTTGTTAACCACAAAGCTACCTTAATGAGTGGGTGGGGGATGCTTTGTGATTTAAGAATCTTAAGTTTGATTCCCATTGCTGCTAAGTTTACTTTTCCTGCCTTTATTATTTCAAAGGTACTAAGGCTATTTGCCAGTGTCACTAACTTTGAACTGCTAACTAGAGAGATGGCAACTGGCTGGTAGCACCTACTGCCAAATCTCTGACAATTTAAGTATAAATGTATTGTTTTATTACACTGTTACGTTTCTATCTTATAACTGCATAACTGTATAATTTAATGCGGTATAAGCAGGCACAGATCTGGTGGAGGGGGTCAAAGGGGCTCAGATCCCCCCATCCATTTTATTTCAGCACTTAGTAACTACATTATTTAATGTTGTATAAACAGGTGTGGATTTAGGGGAGGCATCCAGTTGAGTTGAAACCCCCACCCCTTCTGCCTATTTTGTTTCAGAAATTAATAAAAACATCCATATAATATCAAAAAGAAATATCAGATGTTGCTGTTTTTATTTGATTGCTCTATTAATTACTATAAAAGCTTTTTTCATTTATCTGAAGTCAACACAGCTGTAGTCTACAGCAATCTGTTTATGGCCTCAGTCAATTATTTCTAAATGAATACAACAGTATTGTAATAAATTAAACATTACCATGCCTTGACTTTTTCCAGACATTAACAACATCTGTGTGTGTGTGTGAACTCTAGACTTTACAAATTTGTTTTCATCAAAGTTAGTATTGCTTAGGACACCTGCAGCTCTTATAACTTATACTTATTAAAGATTTTATGTTTTTATTGTTTCAAAGATATAATACTCACAAGAAAGATGTTTTCATATTGTTGATGACCAAAATAAGTAAAAATGCAAGTGCTATGATTGTATAAGTAAGAACATAAAAAAAAGAAAACAGGCATCTTATTTATGAAGGCTGAAATATGTAGAATTTGTAATTTTTTCTAAATATAATTCTAACTATTTAATTATGGATAGGCAACATGCAAAAAGAAAAAAGGCATGAGAAAAACATTGCTTAACAAACCTTAAGACTTAATAAAAAAAATCTTATATTTTGTGTATGAAAGCCTTGTAACGTTTACTGATAATCTGCCATATTTTGTGAACATGCACTTACTAATTTAAAAGTTATAGCATGAAAACTATAACAAGCACAAAATGGTTACGAGGTCAGTCCCAGGGACCGAGTTCATGCTAAATAAGTTAAGGAGATAACATTTATTAGTTTTATATAAAAATTTGTTGTTTGAAAATGTCACAAGGCAATATATTTATTTTCATCAACAAAAGTTTTTTACATTTAGTACAGTAGTCTTTTAGAAATTTGTAGAGAGAAACCTGTGGAATTCTAGTGATCATATTATTTTCAAGTTGTTACAGGTTCTGTACTACTTTGCATGTATGATACATTTTCATCTACAACAGTTTAG